ATAGGGCCGCTTCATATTGACCATTTTCCTCTCCACGGTATGCCATTTTTCCCGATATTAAGATGTTGGGCCTCTTGAAATATTTTTCGCCCTACTAGATTTTTAGGACTTCGGCGCCACTGATTATATATATATTTAATACATTTTACAGTAAAAAAATAAACCTAAAACATCATTTTACATTTCGGAGACTAGAAACATTTAAAAACAATGTTTAGTGGTATCTGGTCGTCTGGAGTAAATGTTAAAAATAATTTAAATCTTATTTTATTAAATTAATTTAATATTTAATGAGACTATCAAAGATTTTTAGTAATTTATTATTATGTATAATATATTATAATTTTATTTTGTTGTTTTAGATACAATAGGAACCCAACAGCTAGGACGTTTCGGTGCTGTTTCGGATACATAATATGTTCGTATATAGTTTGATGAGGTGCGGTTCAAACTGTAGTAACTGCGAGCCTGATGAAGAAGAGTTTCTTACTGTAGATGTTTTAAAAGACATTAATTCAATAGATGCTATAACAGAAACAACATTTCAATCAGAAGAAACTTGCAATGCAAGGGCTGCAGTGGCGCACAGTAGATTTTTCACAAGGGTGTCGAAAATATATATCTCGCGGTACCCAYCCACCCCACAAGTAAAATCTGAGTTTATACTCTTTGTACAATTAATATTAAATTAAACAAATATTTATCAAAATAACATCGGAATTCACCCAGAACCAATCACACTCACCCAGTCACCCACCAATTCCCTCAAGGGTGTCAGTCGACACCCCCTGACCCCCCCCCCAGTGTGCACCACTGAGTATAATACAGCTGACTCAGATTCAAGCAGTACTTCGTCAAAAAAATCGATTACAGCCGAGACTACAGATAATACATCATTAGAAGTATGCTCTATTTCGTATTTTGCAGGTTATTTGGCGAAAAAATGTTGGGATAAATTTGGATGTACAGATTGTAACTTATCAAAAAATAAGGATAATTTGAATGACAAAACGATTCTCTTGATATTATTCAGGGYCTACAATGATATTGAACCAACACAGGGACTCAAAGCTCCAACTGATGAATTTTTGGATATAGTAACAATATGCTTACACATTTTTGAAAAAACGTTTCCAAAAAAGGCAGGTAAGTCGTGGATGTCGCTCTGCTGTACAGTAGATTACAAGTGGGTTACTGTAATGGATGGAATTAAATTTGAATCCAATGATAT